TGCGGGAGATTCCTCAGGTTTTCTGATTCAATCTGTCCAGGCATGGTGCTGTTCGATTTTTCACCGACGAAATGGCATGTCGGATTTCGGAAAGAAGAACCGGTGGCACAACATATCCATACTCCTTCGTTTCATATGACGGAAGGTGCAGGTGTCAATCAGTGCTGCTCTTTCCTCTTCAAGATGTTCCTTTGTCACCTGTCTGCACTATTTTCTAATTTCGGTCGTCAGTTCGCGGTCCCTGCAGCTCATGCGTATCAGCTCGAGTTTTTCTGGAGGAGACGTCTCTTGGTGACTTTCGAAATCTCAGCTTTCATAGCATTTAGGTGAAGATGTTGAATGAGCCGATCGTGTTCTTTTCGAGAACGGCATCCTCCCAACAATCGACTTGCAAATTGAATAAGTTCCAGTTCATTGTGGTTTTGGTACCTGTTTTTTTGAATTTGGCGGTTTTTTCTCCTTTCCGCGAGGAATAGAATTTTGCACGAAAAAGGTAAAGATATGATATAAAGTTGTTGTAGGAAAGACGTAGATTGCCAGCGAAAACTTGCAGAACGTCGTTCAAACCAGTAGTGATGAAATACATGAAGGACTTGCTTGATGATGAGCCATCCATAATTCTATATGAATGCTATGTTGGCCAAGGGATTATTCCGGAGCACAACGCATATGTTCAGCAGGTATAGGAAAAAAAGAGATGCAGCGATAGCACAACAAATAGAACCAGCACTATTATAAAAAGTTTTTGTAATCCATTGGAAGTGTCACTCTCTTGACTGTCGTAGAAAAGTCCAAGATTTCGCAGCTCCACATTTGCTACAGAACGTGGTAAGCACGTTTCGACCGAATGCCAGCAATATGGAAACACGTTTGTGAAGACAGTAAGGACTGCTACGAATGCAAACAATGTGCACGAGGTGCAGATTGCATGCAGGAGATGGAAATTCTATAAGTTCCATAAGTCGTGTTTACAAGAACGTTTGCTATTTATTTCATATGTCAGGAAAGACATCCACTGCAGTGGTATTTCCACTGCGTGACGAAGGCTGGGCGCACGATTTCGCATTTCGCTTCTCGCAATGCTAAGGTGATTCACTTGAGCTACAAACGCGCATCACCCTATTCTAGGGAAACGCGCTCAAGAAGACAGCGGTAAACTTTTAGGTCAGGTTTAGATCCTTTTTGTCTACTGTCCTTGGGTTTTTGAACAGGCGGTCGGTCTACTGATGCCATGCCTTAGATGTTCATTTCGTTGAAAACTTACTACCAGCAAATAAAACGTTCTACCTCGATCGTCATCATATTGTGCTGTTGTTGATGCTTTGAAAGAAACTGTTCTCATGCCTCTTGTTTTTTTTCTTCATAGGCTGCTCAGTTGCTTCACTATTTGAGAAGGTCTAAACGTTCTTTTCTTGTTCCCTGTATTCTGTACTTCCGACCTCTACGTCGTTGCAGTTTTTTATTTCACATTAAAATTGCTGCAGGGATTTGTAGTGCTTATGACACACTTCACTTTTAACCGTTTAGAGTATAATGCGACCTATAGAGCAGGGTTGCTCCCAGAATAGCCATAAGCCATAAGCGTGGCCATAAGAGGCCATAAGTGTGGAGCTGTACTATACCTGTTTGTCATTAGAAGTGAAATAGCTGTTGCACCAAATCGGAAAATGACCAGAGCACGAAAGATATGATTGTAAAGGGCGGAATCAGAAGCGGGATAGAACCATAAATAAAGCAAGATTCCCGACAGGGTGAATATCTGGAAAGAGTGCAACAGGAGCGGTAGCTCGACGCCCACAGATCTGATGAGTTGTCTCTAAAAACATACATTAATGAAACGTGGCAATTTTCAACGGGCAATATGAAACAGCTAGCTTAAAAATCGCTGAATGAGAACAAGAGGCATTCACATACGTTGCACAGCAGAAAGACGACGATGAAAAGGTAGATCATGAAACTTGTAATATACACAAATTCGCCGTAGTATAAGTTCATAGCGCGCAAAAAGTTGGCAGTAAAAGACGATTCGTCTGCAAGAGGCTCGAGATGACGGAATGTTCACTACAGATTTAAGTGTTCCCAATCGAATGCTGTATTTCATGAAGATTCCAAAAAGTTCGACAAACCGAGTATTGGTACGACGTACGGAAGCATACCACCTAATTAAGTGAACGAGAAGGAAATCGAAGACGAATGTGGTAAACCTTTGGGCTAAAGTCCCCTACAAGTTTCTGAACTTCATACGAACTATTTGTCCCACCACAACCCAGCAACTGTGTAATAGAACCCACTTGTGAAATAGAATTTTAAATTATAGGGGTCCCACATCGATCGAATTTCTCCAGAAAGACAGAGAGCGCCAGTAAAAGCACCAAAAAGGCAGCACAAAACTAATATTATCTGAAAGTCCTTTCTTTAACGCTAAGGAAATGAAATACGTTTCACGTAGTAGTTAGGGAAGCATCATACCATTGTCTTCTTTTTGTCAAATATAAGATCCATCTTTTTTGGGAAAACCACAGCGATGAACCGATTGAAGGCAAGGACGAAAATAGTTGGATACTCCATAGCATAAGACGTTACCGAAAGTGCGCCCAATAACTAAACACAGTTTGAGAAAAACAGAAAAGATTTGAGAGTTATAGTTTTAAATACTTGTTTTATATTCTTGTTATCGATATCCTTAATGGAAACTACGGTGAAAAGGCCGAAAATCGGAATGAAAACATATCATGATTTCTTCGACCATCACTTCTCTCTACAACTATATTTTACATTTTCTTAGAGCAGTCATTTGTGGGATCTCGTTCAAGCCAGCGCTTTCACTAATAAATATGACCATCAAAGCGTTGAACAAAAACGAACGCCCCCAAATAATTGCAAAGCGCACTCTAACACAGAAGAAATCGCTGTGAAGAAGGCAACCGTAAACCCCTACCGAATTTAAAGTTGGATGAATGACAGGAGTGCGGAGAGTGATGGCCACTGCAGCGACTTGAACTCCACAATTCACAGCATCAGCGGCGGAACTAAAGAAGATGAGACGATAAGCGGAATGAGCCCACAGACACTTCGATCTTCGAATAACCTGGAGATTGCAAAATGCACTGTGAAACATCCCACAAAGTATTCGTGGTAGTTAAATTGGAAGATTTTGCCGTGCTTTACAAATAGAGTAGGATAGACTGCTGTGATCACTCATTATATCTTTCTTGAAGGCCTTAAAAATTAGGATAAGAGTGCGCACAAACTTACCAGCATCGTTTGCAAATTCAACACCAAAAGAATACAGCCGAAGAATATGTAGAAGGCGAAAAAATTGTAGTGAAATGTATTCTCGTATTCGACCATACTGTTCCCCAAATGGAATGCTTAGTTGCCTGTTTTACCTCGAAATGTTGAAGAGTATTCGAAAGCACCTCAGAGAGTTGTTGAAGATCAGCACTCCTGAAAGTTGTTTTAGAAAGTTCAAAATCCGCTTACACCCTTGCAATAAGCGATACATATTTGGTTTATCATTGAAAATAACGCGTAGAAGTTTAGAAGTGAACCGATGCACTGTGAAACTTCATTTTCAGTGGAGCAACTGTAAAAGATAAGCATTTACACGCTTAGTTGCTTAGTGAAAACCAGGGTAAGTTGAGAACGACGCGTAGAGTTCTTTCCCACTTGAAGTCTCGTTGAAAATGTGCGATGAATGAAGACTGTCACGATCGCCACAATTTCTCATCACTCACATGCACTTCGATTTATTCTTTAATAATATATTATTTAGCTAGGGTAGCGGAAACAATTAGAAAACGAACTAGGACAGAGTGTTTTAGCAATTCTGTGGCACGCATATTTCCATTGATAAAGTGAATCCTCCTTTTAGATTCCGTCATCCTGTGATGATTTCTGCCGTAAGGGATGAATAGAAGGATAAAGTGTTCGGTGTTGATCAACTGCTTGCGGATAAGCTACGCTTTCCCTACATTTAAGCATCGGAGAGGAGACTGAATGCATATTTCAATTGTGCAGTGGCTGTCGGGGCTTCCTCACATGTCTCATCAGTGTTCTTCTTTTTATTCTAAATCAATCTGATATCAGTTTGCTAACTCCAAATAGGAGCAGTCGCGCGTTCTGTTCGCGGACCTCAGAAGAAAGGATTGCTAGTATGACTGAGATTCATATGTGAGATCATGCTGTGTTACTGACAATGCATAACATTACAGATATCCAGAAAAGACAAGTTTGGTGGAGAACGTCATTTAATGAGGGCTCTACTACTGGATGCGCGGATGCATCGTAAACGAATGGTAATTTTGTGGTTTCCTTATGTGGAGTTGCCACGGCGCGATGCGGTAGATAGTGAATAATTACACCTTGGTGGCGTATCGATTGATCGACTTCCTCAATAATGTTCCCATTTAGTTCCCAGGATCGGCTTTCTCTTAACCTCGGCATTGGAATATGAATGTGTCGTTTTCTTGTTCAGCAATCGCGAGGTTTTTAAACAGCATACATTTACTTCCATAAAAACACAATACAATACAACGCTAGCTGACGTTTCGGCAGTATCGCCTACTTCAGAGCCTGGAAGGGTATACTGATATACATTCTACTAAGCTAAACGCTTCAATAACACTTACAAAAAGACGAAAGACTCTCTGGCAATTACATGATCAACAACTTCTCGAAAAAACTCACCGCTTTTTTGTGACTTCCAATGAGGAAGTTTAGAACAGCTGATTATAGTCGCATGTGGTTGACGACTGCACCATCCCACATCAAAAAACGATGCGAACGTACGGGATTAGGTCGCGTATGACCTCCGGGCATTCATGCTATTCATTGTAAGGTTTTTGACATTGATCCAAAAAGCCTCAAAGAGTTTTAGCGCTGGTGTTTTGGACTGCTGTGCAAGGATATTGACTTTTACTTCAAAATCGTCTCCGCTATGCTTTTGTATCCTATGCGTGCCTAGCAGGGAGAATTTTTCGTCTGGGTGGCGATTGTCTCCTGCAATCGTCGAAATGCCATGCATTTGTTCTCAGAGAGTGTAGTTGAGTTGCTTTTCCACGGAAGTCTCACATAGTCTTTTTATCATTTTCGCAAACTCTTCCCAAAATTCAGCATTTTGCTGCTCTTGTTCTTCTATTTTCAATCCCGTAAATTTGTTAAATCCTGATGATTCTAGTGTGCAAAAATCTTTCCATGATTGTTGTTCATAAGGTTGAGGGTTGGGTACTGTACTCGCTGACAAGGAGTGTACTTTCTTGCAATTTAATGTGCCGCTTATGGTTGGCTCCTACTACTAGATAACCTGTTTAGAGGGAACTAACATTAAACCCGATGGTAATGTTTTGTTCTGCCTTAGGTTACTATTAAGTAGAGAAAATACATCTGAACATCCGAGCAGGATTTGTGGATGTACGCTGTTACAGTCATGATCGATTGACAATTTAATATTGTTATGACGGAGGAAGTTCATACCTTTTTGGCCGATAGATACACGCTTTAGACGTTTGGTGATGGTCTCGATCCTAGTTACTGTAATTTCATGTTGTGTTCCATAGACATCCCACAATTTTCTGCGGAAACTCCACAGTTCTTTTTGACTTCGTTAAGAGCGGCGAACGTATTAATGGATAATTCTACGGAATCAACATTTCGTAAATGAAGACGTTCAGCCAATTCGTTGGTGATAAATGAACGATTGGATCCTGTATCAAGCAAGAAAACTACTGGTTTATTTGTCTGACTGAATGGGTTGAAGATCTGCGCTTGTCCTGCCAAAACTTGGACATTCGTTGTGTCTTCTTTCATTGCGTAGAGTATGACCGTATCATTCTGATAGTTTTGTTGGGATTCTACTGAATTGATTCGTGATTGCGTAGTCTTCTTGCCTTTCGTAGTGTTGACAAGCCCTTTCCGCTTGTCCTTTTTTATTCTACTTCTGACTGATTAAGCTGTTTTCTTAAAGCTTGTTGGCGCTTACAAATGAACGTGTGATGCCCACGTTTGCTGCATACTCGGCAGCACCCACCTTTGCAAGCCGATGTTTGGTGAAACTTTGATCCACAGTTAAAGCAAAGATTCCAACCTTTTATAATCTGTACTCTTTCTTCATATGTTCGCACTTTTTTGCAGTCAATTATGAAATGTCCTTGTGTTCCAAAATGTTCCAATAGAATCATGGATACATTTTGCTCGTGTACATGCGGGTTTGAGGCCGAAAAGTATGCTGTAGGGCTCTTTTTCGAGTACCTCTCAAGTCTGATGTGACACTGATGTTTCTGCCCAGCTGTTGTTGTATCCTGAGCTCCTTGCTTATATATTCATTGAGAGATTTTAAAAAATCTTCAATTTTGTGTTTTATGGGATTTTCGAGTTTTTGGATCCAGTACGTGTCTTTGGATATCTCTCGTAAATTTTGTAAGAAGTTGATTTTGGAGGTACATGGTGTCTACAAATTCCCCATTGTGTGCCAAGTGGCTGATTACGGAAAACAAATGCTCGCACACTGTCAGCTGATCTTCAAGGCGGTCGCTCTTCGCTTTGGTCGTCTGGACTCTGTTGAGTAATTCGTCCAGCAGACCTTGTTTGTTAGCGTGCTTCTGCTTTAGATAGGTGATAACCATCTGGTAGGGTTTTCGTGTATTCTGTATTGATTAATGAAAGTTTTTGCTTTCCCTTCAAGAGAATCTAATAGGTAGTTCATTTTCACGAAGTCGTCCATTTTTTTTGTGTGCACTGAGTGGTTGAACGCTTCCCAAAAGGTGTGCCACTCCCATAGTTTTCCGCTGAATTTTGGAATAGGTATAGGTGGGAGCTCTGCTGCTGAAGGACTAAAATTTGTACTACTCGAAACTTTGTTTTTTGTATCTTTTAAAGTGTTCTTTAGTTTGAAGAACTTGAAGAGAGAGCGTGCCGCTCTATCAAGTAACTCAAGTGTTTTTTCGGTGTTTGCATTAATTCTATCGCGTGCATCCTCTACTAGTGGGATGTTAGGATCAAGGTGTTCCGCTTCTTCACTATACTTACCGAGTGCTATGTGGACGTTTTCCATTTCGAACTGAATGGCGAATATTGCATTCGTGATGCTTTTTACTAGCGTATTGACGTAGGAAATGCGGTCGAATTCAACAAAGGAAAGCTCTACTTGAGACAATGCTATGTGTTCACTATCGTCAAGATTAGTTAGGAGACGGTTAGTAGCCCTTGTTAAAGCTCCTTGACGTGAAGACATTGAGGAAGTCATTATAAGCGATAGTAAACGTACTGCTTTTTCCGTTTGAGACTGATTGTCCTGTGACTTCGTTAACAGTAGCTTGGTTCTTGCACCAGACTTCACTGATTTGGCCAATGCACCTGAATATTGCGGCTGCTAGTCGAAAATAGGCCTTCGAGTCAGTTCTCGGCACCGAATAATCACTAGCTTTTAGCAGAATGCTCGACTTCGTGAGAAAGTGCCACACGGAACTTTTCGTAGTTGTCGCAAAGCAACACCTCAAACTTGGGTAATTAAACCATTTATACACATAAATGCAACGTTAAAACAACACTAATATCGACAGAGAACTACTGGCAGACAAATAAGGCAAGTTCAAGGCTATTAGGTGATGCACCTACTACTAAAGCGAGGCTTACGAAGGCATAAAAGTATTGTAAATAGCACTATAACAACATTAGTACTATGATAACAGCAACTTGATAACAATGACAAGTAAGAGGATACGAAAGATGGCGCACGCACTGGCGCGTACAGTGGCCCAGATCCCGAGGGCTAGAACAACAGACGAGTGAGAAGCAGATGAGTCCTGCAGTAGGCTAAGCTAGGGATCGCATGTAGAGCGGATGGGTGCACTTGCACATTAATCGATGAGGATAGCAAGTTACCTAAACATAGATGGTGGAAATGACTACGAACGAGACGGGATATCTGCGGAACACGGTCAGGCGGCTGCTCTTGGGTAACGATATATCTGCAACGTGAAGTTTGAGCATCGATGGGTGCCACCATTGCCTAAGAGATTATAGACGAGAAAGGTAACGACTGAGAAATGATAAGCCTATAGCGGCTTAACAAATACACAGCGTAAATTGGCCGGCTAGCGGCCTTGTATGCATGGCGTACCGTGTGGGAGGAATTTTTACATGCCACCGATGGCGTTTCAGACAGAACGCATTTGAGGATAGCCGCCGCTACTGACAACACACTGCAGACCAACTGATGAACAATAAACATTGATACGAGGATGAGGATCAGGATGGTGATCAGGAGGATGCACTGGGCTGATGGAAAGCGTGACGTAGTGACGGTGATGCTGAACTAATGTACAATTCGCATCTGTCATTTAACAATGATA